ATGAAACGACCTTTTTATGCGTTTTGGCTTTTTATACAAATATAAAAACGCATATTGTCGAGACTCCTTCTGTCTGTGTGTGTGTGTTCGAAAAAGCGAGTAAACTTTGTCACCCACTTTCAATTCAGCAATGGAGAAAGCTGAGGGGCTAAGATTTTGGGAGCACGTTCCCGCTCCCTTTCTCCCTACACAAAGGAAAGGCCGAAACGCAGCCAGAATGAATTCACGTGTTAAACTGTAATGCGCAATCACTTATACTGTTAACGACCTGACTGCTATATTGTTAACGATCTGGCAATTTAGCGCAAAAATGCACGGTCGCACCGGCAAGCTGGTGCGTCGCTACCAGGGTTTGAATTTGAGCAGGAAATCTTAGAACGCGTTTTTGAGTCATTATTTTTATATGACAGCAGGGATCATTCGGTAACTAAGCAAGTAATCCTGCGGATCCTACAGTTTGTTTAAATCGGTTGTTGTCGTAATTATTAATTATTGGGCTGCCAAAATCCTGTGACCACTTTTCACCGTAAGGACTCTAGACCACTTCTTCAGAGCTTCCTTTGTTGCCTGTCAGTTCTGAAAATGGAAATTAATCCGGAGTTTTCAACTGTTCGCTATATGCTGCGCAAAAATGTGCAACTCAGGATGGAAAAGCGGTGTTTTACTGCGTGCTTAGTTTTTGGATAATGAGTAAGTGAGAGTTCCTTCAGTTTTGCGAAATTATGACTTCGGGATACGCAAAATTTTAAGGTGGTTATTTTTAGATTCCGCGAGGCTTTTAAGAGGTCCTTCACGTTTCGGCAGTCTTTATAATTTGCAAGGAGGATTTAGTCGCGCGCCCCTTCTGCATTTCGTTCGTGTGAATATTTCTGTTTGCCAAATATTTGCGAGTGATAGCTGTGTTGCCTGGTCTTTTCTCCTATTTTTGCAGGCGGAAGAAATGGGAATATTTCAGACTTGAAATAGTGGGCAGGAATAATTTAGAACAGCTGGCTCAAGTAGTAAAATCCTGGGTTACTAGTACCCACATTTGCGACAAGAAATTATCCTCGCTTGTTCATCCACACGCTGATATCACAACAATTAGCTCGCTGAGTGCAGACACAGACGAACGGAACTGAGAAACTGATTCAACACAGAGTAACGCGTTTTGCATAGAAATGTGAAAATTTAA